AGTACAAGTTCATCGTGGGGCCGCCCAGTCGCAAAAGTCTCCCAGCCCAAGTATCGTACGGAATTTGTTGTTAAAAGTTAAATGCGTGATAAGTGGACAGTAGGAAATAAAGTAAGTCCGCTTATAACTGATCTACTGAACTAAAAAACGCAGGTTAAAAGGCGGTTGAAAGAAAAGACTAAGAGAACTGCAAGGGCGACTCCTATTGGTTAGCGAAGGAAGCCTTTAGACCAATAAATTGATTAGAGCAACTCCTATTACTATTAGGCGGCCTCACAATGAACCCGTACCCATTTCAGTAAACGGGGCTGTAGCATATACTTATTGTAAATCGGGTGGGAGCAACTGTTCGAAGATCACCTTGTATATCCTCGAAACTCCGTGCGGTAAATGACCTGCCGAGGTCAGAGGTGACCCCCCCTGCGCAATTTCATCTTTGAGGATGAGAGGTAAAGAACTCATGATAATACAAGTTTTATATTTTTGGCGCCCCGAGGGCCATTGGCATCTTCTCTACAGTAACCCGATGGTTGTGTATGTACATGATTGGAACACCAGTTACTTTGCGAATACGTCTGCGCAAGTCACGATCACAAGTCGCAACGATGTAACAGCGTGCGGCGCAACGTTCAACCAGACAGTCGTCGGCATAGGTGCCCCTGTGTTGACAGGTAAGTCGCTCTATTCGAGGATCACGGAGAATTCTATGATGAAGAGGGGAGGGCGGTTATTCCACCAGAAATGGTATACGGGCTTACTTAAGGGCCACGCGATAGCGCTCCGGCATTTTTTCAATTTCACCCATCACACATTCCGTCACGTAGAGGAAGCCTGTGACCACGTTAGGACCTCAGTTAACTTACATTTTGCCAAAAGACAGTCCATTATGGATCCAAAGAGGTCCAGACGATTCTTTATGGTGAAATTCACGTAGTTCGTATCCAGAAGGATGTGATACGGTGGACCAAGAGCCTCATTGTAAGAGTCTTTCAGACAGGAAATCAGCTCGCTGCGATTTTTTATGACCAGGTGGTTTGAGGTAGACTTCTTTGCCTCTTTTAATTTTTTTCTGTCTACTTTTTTACTAGCAAGGAATAGGTAAAGCTCAGAAAAACGACTGTGGAACTCACATTCGAGAGTCGGTCAGTGCAAGGGTTTTCTTCATGACTGCAAACTTTCGCGTTTGTTTCCGCTTGGCCATCTTCGGTGTAGACCTGAAGTTGGAAAGCAGCGTGTCAAACAGTAGCTGGTGACCAAATGTTAATAAGCAAGATGGCTGGAAGTGCTTGCATTCCAGGGTATCAGATGGGGATACGATGAAGAGGGTTTCAGAGGACTGAATATTTCTAACATCATAGTCGAATCCCTCTTCAAAGAGCAGGGACGTTGCTAGGTCT